CAGCCAGTTCTCTGCTTAAAACTTAACAGTGGTTCTTCAATGTCCTCAGACCAAGGTCTAAACTTACAAGGTCTTTAAATATCTGTTCTGAATTACCTCTTGGGTCTCACGGCTTCCCATTCTCCCCCAAAGCACAAAAGTCAATTCTCCAGGTCCACAGAATTCTCTGAACCTAACAAGCTCTCATCATTGAGCTAGTTCCTCTGCCTGGAACACACATCCCTTCCTTTGTTGCCTTGAAAATTTCTAGATACCTTTCAGCTGTCAGCTCAGGTCATTTCTCTAAATAGAATTGTCCTGGCTCCTCCAGTGTAGGTTAGGCAATATTCCAAAGCATTCTCAGAGTCCCTGGCACTTGCTAGCCCCATCACAGCCCTATTTAAATAAGTAATTAAAACAAAGTCTGTCTATACCCCTCACTAGACCAAAAGATCACTAACGACAGAAACTGGGAAGATCTGTCTCATTCATTACTGCATCTCTAACATCGAATACAGCATCTGGCACAAAGCAGAAACTCAAATATATTAAAAGACTAAATAAATAAATACCTTTGAGATTAATATTCAGGGTTTTGAGGGTGAAACTGCAAGGCTTATCTAACAACTTCCTCAGGAAAAACTGGTCATATTCTAGTTCAAGGAAGTAAGAATTTACTGCTTAGTCCCATACAAATCACAAAGATAAGCAGGAGTTGGCTCGGCGCCTGTGGATCAAGTAGCTAAGGCACCAGCACATACACCTAAGTAAGGTGGCAGGTTCGAATCCAACCTGGACCTGCCAAACAACAATGATGGCTGCAACTAAAAAATAGCCAGGCGTTGTGGTGGGCGCCTGTGGTCCCAGCTACTTGGGAGACAGAGGCAGGAGACTCACTTGAGCCCAGGAGTTGGAGGTTGCTGTAAGCTGTGATGTCACAGCACTGTACCCAGGGGAATAGCTTGAGGCTCTGTCTCAAAAAAAAAAAAAAAGAAAAAAAAAGATAAGGAGTCAAATCCTCAAGATAGTTGTAGGAGAGAAAACTAAGACACATATGAACAGGAAAGCCAAACAAAGAGTGGGGTGTTATTAGAGTCTAAAGTGTGCTACACCTACTTTGAGCACCAAGGGAGGACTGGGCAAGAATCCTAGAAGTAGGATTTGAGCTCACCTTATAGAAGACAAAATACAAAGGCAGTTTTCAAAGGGGGTTGGAAAATGCCCTCCTTTCAGGGGTAAAGTCAAAAGCATTTCCCTAATAAGCCTAAACTGTTGTTTTCTTTTTATATTTCTAACCACTCTAAAGCAGAGGCTACATGGTAGCGCCTTAGAATGGATGCAGGTGCAGACAGGGTCGGCCAGCTGTGTTCTAAGCCAGACATTAGAGATTTGTGAAAATGTAACAATGCCACACATTGAAAGTTTGTTTTGAAGAACAGTTATCTTTTCTAAAAACATGTGTTAACATGTCATGAAATTATTTTTCAATGAATATTTAATGTTAGTTTTGATTCCTGAGAAATATTTATATAACCTCCTTGAATCCTAAAAATTTTAAGAGTCTTAGAGGGAGATCAAGACCAAAAGTCAAACCTTCACTGAGCTAGAGATTTTTAGAGGTAGATTGGGCATCAGCTTAGATTCTCTGTACAGATGAGCCGTAGAAAGTGCATTAGAAACGAAGCCACTCAGGCACCACTGAGCTTCAAAATGTGCTCACGTGTTGGGCATGGGGCACACACCTGAAGTTCCACCTACTTGGGCGCTGAGGCAGGCGACTCCCTGGAACTCAGGAGTTAGAGAAGTTGGAAACCAGCCTGGGCAACATAGTAAGACCCACCTCTTAAGAAAATGTGTTTACTATACACGCACAGGCTTTCATAGTTGATAGATTTTTGCTTAGTGTAAAAATATAAAAGTATTTTTATATCATTCTTATCCTCCCATCCAAACACAATATATACCTTTTGAATTATAGACAGGCATTTTTACAGTAAAAATGTCTATAGTCTTCAAAATTATCAGTTAAAATAACCACAGAATCACATCCAGCATTCTTAAAAACCTGGATAGCAACTTTCACATTTGATCTTCCCAGTATTTTGTAACAATATGCTGAAGCCTCATCCAAGAAAAAGCATGGCAGATTCCTGGCCCCAAAAACTTACTTCTAGAATGTCAAGGGACCTGATTTTAAATCAAACTTGCCTGAGACACTCCGTAGCTTTGTCCACAAGGAAAACAACATCTTGCTCTAGACTTTCTGGAAACCTTTTAACTCAAAACTATGTATCTCCCAAACCGCGAGGGCTCTGCTCACACTCAGACTGCCTCTAGAGCCACGTCCCACACACTATTTATGGCTCCCAAACACCACAGAGGCTTATATTAGTGTTTCCCACCACCTGAAATGATCTCTTCCTTCACCTCCACCTGTCCAGAATTTATACTTGAAGGGTCAGCTTGAAAGGCAGATCATCTATGATTCCTTCTCAGTTCCTTTCAGCTAAACATTACATCACTCTTTGAATATTTGAAAGACTTTGATCAAATTTCTTAAAATTGAAATCTTATTCTGCTTGCATTATCAAGGACTTTCTTTGAGATCTAAAGACCTCACAAAGGTACAGACTGTCTTAATGGTCTCTTTCCCCGAAAGCACGATGGAAAAACAAGAAAGTATGAAGGAAAAACGGGGCTCAGATAGGCTGTAATCTGCAGGAAGCCACATGGCTAGTGATTGAAAGAGTCCCATTTTGAATGCCAGACCTCCTGACTGAAAACCATGTTCTTTCTATCATAATCTTCCAGACCTTGCCCTATGCATCTCTTCTATATCCTGTTCTGCTATATTGACACAGCAGCTGCTCCCTAATTCATTTCTCCCAGTCTCAATTCCCAACTGTCCCAAATTCAACCTATTTTATTCTTTCACCCCACCTCATCTCTCAGCTGCTTATAATATAGAATCACTTAAGGCCACTGACATCTTAACACATTATTATTATTATTATTATTTTTGAGACAGAGTCTCACTTTGTCACCCCTGGTAGAGAGCCGTGGTGTCAGAGCTCACAGCAACACTGGACTCTTGGACTCAAGTGCTCTTGCCTCAGCCTCCCAAGTAGCTGGGACTACAGGTGCCTGGCTACTTTTATAGACAGGGGTCCTACTCTTGATCAGGCTGGTCTTGAACTCCCAGACGATCCACCCGCCTAGCCCTCCCAGAGTGCTGGAATTACAGGTGTGAGCCACCACCCTGGCCCATCTTAACATATTCTTGACCAGCAATCTTATGCAGAATGAGTAACTCATGACCGGCAATTTTATGCAATGGGTAACTCATGACCGGCAATTTTATGCAATGGGTAACTTCATGACTGGTCAGCAATATGTTAAAACTGTAATTGACGGTGGCTCACATCTGTAATACCAGCACTTTGTGAAACCAAGGCAGGAGGATTATTCGAGCTCAGGAGTTGGAAGCCAGCCTGGGCAACAAAGTGAGACTCCATCTCTACAAAGAAAGTTTTTTTTAATTGAATTAACAAGGCACAGTGACTTGCACCTGTAGTCCCAACCACTTGAGTGGCTGAGGCAATAGGATCACTTGAGCCCAGGAGTTCAATGCTGCAGTGAGCTGTCAGGAAGTCACTGCACTCCAGTCTGAGCAAGAGAAAGAGACCCTGACTCAATGAAACAAAAACAAACAAGCAAATAAACAAAACCCATGGTAATTGTAAGTATAACACTTCTAGAGTTCTCTGATTCATTCTAGCGAATTGTCAAACCTGAAGGGGTAGTGGGAACCCCCAAATATGTCAATAGTTGGTGAGAAATGCTATGGCCTGGGAATCCTCATGCTGGTAGCTGGTGTGGGAAGTGAGGACAGTTCAACATGAAACTGCGTCCTTAGCCTGTAAAGTCGGACTTAACTCCAGGTAGTGTGAGAACTACAATGCAACTGTGTAACAAATAATAGACACCATCTCATGGATAATGGCAGGATCGTGTAACAAATGATAACAGAAACCATCTCATAGAAACACTGCAGGACTGTGTAACAAATAATAACAGACCCCATCTCATAGATTTGCACAGATACTATGTGAGTATTTTTATATACAATATTTCTAAATCTTTAGAAAATATTATCTCTAAACTTCATAAAAACCCTATAAGGTAGAATTATCATCCTAATTCTGTAAGTAAAGAAATTTAGGAATAAAAGGGACATGCTGGCTCGGTGCCTGTAGCTCAGTGGCTAGGGCTCTAGCCATACACACAAGAGCTGGCAGGTTCGAATCCAGCCCAGGCCCACCAAACAACAATGACAGCTACAACCAAAAAATAGCTGGGCACTGTGGCGGGTACCTGTAGTCCCAGCTACTTGGGAGGCTGAGGCAAGATAAGTGCTTAAGCCTAAGAGTTTGAGGTTGCTGTGAGCTGTGACGCCATGGCCTTCTATCCAGGGTGACAGCTTAAGACTCTGTCTCAAAAAAAAAAAAGGGACATGCCTAGTATATGCAGGAACCTAAGTTCAAACTCAGCACTGTCTAAAGGCCCATGATCTAGAAGAGAAGAGATAGAGGAGGGGAGGGATACAGGAGGAGGGAGGGCATTCGGGGGGACCTTACCTAATGTGCATGATGCAATGATACATTTCAAAACTATTAAGAAATGAGTGTAATTGTGATGGATGTATTACTTAGTTCAATGTAGACATTTCACATTGTATATTGAAGCAGTACCCTGAACTCCATAAAGGCATCAATGTACAAAGTTATGATTTAATAAAAAATAATTCATTAAAATAAATAAATAAAAGCCCAAGATCTAGCCAGGACACACTTCACACACTGAGTTTGCTGCCTAATACATGGTATTCAGACCTTTACTCACATTATTGACTAAGATGTCAGAGATAAATCTAAAGTATTCTTTGTAATTTATGAACTACTTATATGAAATATGAAACATTACGTTTTAATACCAATTCTTTTAGTAATTGCTTAACTTACTTGTTTGTGTTTTGGAAACATGTTTCTGGAGAAAATCAACTATCTGAGCCAAAACCTTCTTATTACAATGCGTTGATAATTTTTCATTACACTCATAACACCTGAAAAAATATAAAATTTAAGCAAATATTATGAAAGCATCATCAATAATTTTGCACTTTAGGTAACAAAGTTGGTAATTATCCATTTCCATCTATAAATTACACGGGAGGGAATCCAAAGGGAAGGGTGTCAGGTTAAGTCCAGAGAAATAAGCAAGGGACAGTTCATAGAGAGCCTTGTAGTAGAGATAAAAATTGTGGCAGCTTATCTGAGATATAATGAAATTCCATGAGAGGGGTATGAAGCAAGGCTGCGATATAAACCAATTTATATTTTATAAACTTCACTCTAATGTGATAAACTAGGTTGGAGGGGGCACCAGGAACAGAAACAGATTAGTACACAGTAGCAGTGGACATGGAGAGAAATGGATATATTCATTATATGTATTTGGCAGGTAAAAACAGTAATGAAATGCATATAAAAGATGAGAGAAGAGATAACTGAGATAACTGCCCTAGGAAGGGAGAATTGGGTGAGAGAATGTCAGTATTTCTCAATGAGGAGTGACTTTGCCACCTAGGGGACATTTGACATTTTGAGTTGTCACAACTGGTAAGAAGAGAGGTGACCGCTGCTGGCATTCATCAGGTTCCGCTAAGCATCCTGCAATGTAAGGACAGCACAACAAAGAATTTATCACAAAGAATTACCAGGCCAAATATTCCTGGTCTAGATGAAACAAGACTTGGTGTGAGTTGATAATGTCTAAAGCTGGTTGATAGGTACAGGAGAGAATTCACTATAACATTTTGTTTACTTTTGTTTTTTGTTCTAAAAAATAACCCTATGATAAAAAGGAGATGAAAATACCTGCCAGGCTTCTAGCTTGATTGCTCAAGGGAGGGAGGTGCCGCTTATAGAGATGGGTTGAATTCCTTGTCTTAATAGCACTCAAAATTCAGTCAAATATTTACTGAGCGCCTACTCTACTACTCCCCCAAAGACAGATCAGTATGTGACAGAGATAATCACAGACATTTCCAAAAAACATCTTTTTTGATACACTATGATTGAATTTAGATATTTCATTATAGTTCCCAGATTTACATTACAAAGGGGCTGAATATTTTACTCATTCAACTATTGTCCAAAAACACAAAATCCAAATAACTGCCCATTCAAAAAATACCGAAATGTCATGAAGTTTTTATTGGCTCGGCACCTGTAGTTCAGCAGATAGGGCGCCAGCCACATATACCAGGGCTGGCAGGTTCAAACCCAGCCCAGGCCTGCCAAACAATAATGACAACTACATCAACAACAACAAAAATAACTGGGCATTGCGGTGGGTGCCTGTGGTCCCAGCTACTCGGGAGGCTGAGGCAAGAGAATTGCTTACGACCAAGAATTTGAGGTTGCTGTGAGCTGTGATGCCACTGTACTCTACTGAGGGTGATATAATGAGACTCTGTCTCAAAAAAAAAAAAGAAATTTTTACTGATTCTATACTTTACTTTTTTACTTTTTTTTTATTATTGGGGATTCATAAATTTACTTGTTGTAGAATGTTTTATTTATTTATTTATTTTAGAGACAGAGTCTCACTTTATTGCCCTCAATAGAGTACTGTGACATCACAGTTCACATCAACCTCCAACTCCTGGGCTTAGGTGATTCTCTTGCCTCAGCCTCCTGAGTAGGTGGGACTATAGGCACTTGACACAATGCCCAGCTGTTTTTCGTTGCAGTTTGGTCAGGGCTAGGTTTGAACCTACCACCCTTGGTATATGGGGCCGATGCCCTACCCGCTGAGCCACAGATGCCACCCACAAAAAATTTTTTTTTAATTCAGCATTTTAAGTGTTTTACATACACTATTTGGTTTAGTTACTTACAAAAATCCTGAAAGTATTATTATTTTTAACTAAATATCTTTATAGAAGTATAAAGCTTTCTTTTCATAGATGAGAAACCAAGATAGGAGGTTCTTGTAATAAGAGTACAAGGGGCTGGGAGGCCAACTTGAGAAGATTGCTTCAGCTCATGAGTTTAAGACACCCTGAGCAAGAGTGAGACCCCATCTCTACTAGAAATAGAAAAAATTAGCCAGGTGTTATGTGGGCATCTGTAGTCCCAATTACTAGGGAGGCTGAGGCAGGAGGATTGCTTGAGCCCAGAAGTTTGAGGTTGCTATGAGCTAGGCTAATTCCAGGGCACTCTAGCCCAGAGCAATTGAGAGAGACTCAGACTCAAAAAAAAAAAAAAAAAAAAAAAAAAAATTACAAGGGTGACCAGTGTTGTGGCTCATGCCTCTAATCCCAGCATTCTGGGTGGCTACAGTGGGAGGATTATTTGAGGTCAGGAGTTCAAGACCACCCTGAACAACACAGCGAGACCCCATCTCTACAAAAATTTTTAAAAGGATAAAAATTAGCCAGGAGTGTGATGCTGTGTGCCAATAGATACAATAGGGAAGAGCCTTTGAGCCTAGGAGTTCAAGACCATAGTGATCTATAATGATGCCATTGCACTCTAGCCTAGACAACAAAGCAAGATTCTGTCACACACACACAAAAAAGGATAAGAGAAATGCTGAATCTTTTTTTGACAAATTTTTGAGCATGGTATTTTAAGAGCACTTATTTATATGTTAATTTAAGTGTTAAGTCAATGCCTCTGAAATCTGTTTAGCTATCAAAATCACAAATAGAACTGCTTTGAGAGTGGATATCTATGAATTTTTCAAAATCCACCCATGTGATTCTGATGTGAAGTTAGAGGCAAGAAGCAGTGTTCTAATAATCATTATTGGTTAGATCAGTACTGAATCCAGTACCTAGCAGCTCTTTGCTAGCCATGATGAAATGATCAAATCTACCATATTCTTTTCTTTTTTTTTAAATTTACATTTTTCTTTCTTTCTTCTTCTTCTTCGGGATCTGAACCCGCCACCTTAGGTGTACGTGGCTGGCGCCTTAGCCGGTTGAGCTATAGGCGCCGAGCCAAGAAGCAGTGTTCTAATAATCATTATTGGTTAGATCAGTACTGAATCCAGTACCTAGCAGCTCTTTGCTAGCCATGATGAAATGATCAAATCTACCATATTCTTTTCTTTTTTATATAGTTAGGGTTTTTCTCTAATTCAGTTTGGCCTTCCTTTTAATTAAAATTAGTAAAATTCTTAAATTTTTTATTGCTAAAAAATTAGAATGGAAAAATAAAATATTCACAATCTTTTCATTTCTATAAATGCATTTAATAAACTTGAATTTCTTTCTTTTAAAGAAAAATTACAGACTCCCAAATATGACTTAATTATTTTCATCATAATGAAACCTAACAAATATTCTCACAAAGCTCAATAAATTCATCATTCTTACAATTCCATATAACTATAAAAGCACAATAAATTATACAACTAGATACAAAAAAATTACAAAACTAATTAAAACTAACAACCTTAACATACTGGATAAGGTTGTTGTAATGAAAATTGTATTTTTTACTTTTTAAATACTTTTTTAATTTAAAAAACTTAAAAAAAAAATTTCATGCTATTATGGGTTCTTAATAAAAATTAAACGGGCTCGGTGTCTGTGGCTCAAGCGACTAAGGCGCCAGCCACATACACCTAAGGTGGCGGGTTTGAATCCCCAGCTCGGGCCCGCCAAACAACAATGATGGCTGCAACCAAAAAATGGCCAGGCGTTGTGGTGGGTGCCTGTGGTCCCAGCTACTTGGGAGGCAGAGGCAGGAGACTCTCTTGAGCCCAGGAGTTGTAGGTTGCTGTGAGCGTGATGCTATGGCACTCTACCCAGGGGGGATAGCTTGAGGCTCCGTCTCAAAAAAAAAAAAAAAAAAAATTAAATGGCCATTCATAATTATGATCCTAAGAGCTTCAACCGAGGCTATGGCACAAGTTCACTGGAGCTGCCAGGTTTCAATCAGTTACCATCTTTCCCTATTTCAGTGGCTCATAACATAGCAGTTGTTCCCTGACTCTTTTCTCCCACTCTCAATTCCCAATTGTCCCAAATTCAGCTTATTTTATTCTTTTGCCCCACATCATCTCTCAGTTGCTTCTAATAAGCAATCATGTAGGGCCTCTAACATCTCAACACTTTGTTGAGCAGCAGTTTTACGCAGAGACTCTCCATCCAGGTAATTCATGATCTGTCACCAATGGGGTTAAACTGTGGACCCAAATCACTGGTGCCCCCCGCCCCACAACTACTACTGAGAATATCTATCTGTAGTCTGTCTACATAAGACCTCCCTGGGATTCTGACACACTGTAATTTGAGACCACAGCAAAATCTTTACTGAGCTGCTGCACTGTGACATCCTGCTCCCCTCACCCCTCTAATGCATTATTTACATGTTAAGTTCCTTTGTTCTTGCCTCATTCTCCCCAATACCACTACTTGGGCCCAAAAACAACATAGAGAAACATGAACGCCAGCAGGCACCCTGTGGCTCTATAAAGATGATCTCCCTCATGAACCAAAATATCCTTATGTTAATTTTAGAACCCTAAAACTACAAAGCTAAAATATTTTTGTCTTAAAGAAAACTTGAAGACTCCTGAAAAGTCATTTAAGGAAGCCTAAGAGTCTATAGGTTTAGTTAGAAAATTATTGCAAAATATAGAGAAAGCATTTCTGAAATAGTGTGTTATGCTGGTAAGAAACTAGAAAATCAAAAACCTTGTTTTAGTGCCCGGATTTTTACTTTGTGACCACAAAAAAGTAAGTAATATACATAAAATGTGGAAACTGGACTAGGTTTTCAGCCAAGCTGAACTAGAAGAATCACCTGAGAGGTTTTTACAAATTTCTTGTGCTCACTTGATTACTGAAAAGTTCTTCCTCCTCTAGAACTCTGAATTCTGTATTAGCAAGTTCATGACAAAAAAGTCAACTAGAAAGAATTTTTCTTTATGTTACAAAGAGAATGTTTAAAGTAGCAAGACTGTTAATTTTTCCAATTTAAATTTTATATACATCAATAAGGTTAATATTCGTAAATTATCCCATAGACTGTGTGCAGGCTAAAAAAACATACGCTGGTATAATATCTTTAAATATTTTACTTTGTAAAGGTTAAAGAAAAAGGTATTTTTCTGTAGTGGACACAAGCACTAACAAAACTTAACTTACTGGGCAGCACCTGTGGCTCAAGAGTGTGGTGCTGGCCCCATATAAAACCTGGCCCAGTCAAAACTGCAAAAAAAAAAAAAAAGACAAAAAGAAAAAACCGTAACTTACCATATAATCCATGTGCTGAGACTAATTACTATACAGTGGGGCTCTGTCCGGGAACTCCTGGAGTGCTTCAGTGAATGCTGGCTTTCTGAGCTTTCACCACATCCCTGAAGATGAACAGAATGCTATTTGTATGATTCACATGTTTGTTTCAAATTAATCAAAACTTAAATCCACACTCAAACTTATATCAAAAAAATTCTGTTTTGTTTTAAATTTTAAACAAGAGGGCAAAGTTTCAGAAAGCAGTAAGGATATTCATTAAATCTGATTTCTTGCAAGGAAGATAACTTGGTTTTTGATGTATAATATTTACCTAAAACAATCATGAGCAGAGTTAACTTTCCTGTGATTTAAAAATACATATACATGGCTTGGCACCTATAGCTAAACAGCTAGGAAGCCAGCCATGTACACCAGGTATGGTGGGTTCGAACCCAGCCTGGGCCTGCCAAACAACAATGACAACAGCAACAAAGAAAAAATAGCTGGGCATTGTGGTGGGCACCTGTAGTTTCAGCTACTTGGGAGGCTGAGGCAAGAGAATCACTTAAGCCCAAGAGTTGGAGGTCCCAGGAGTTGGAGGTTGCTGTGAGCTGTGATGCCACAGCAGTCTATCAAGGGCAACATAGTGAGACTCTGACTCAAAAAAAACAATAATAACAAAAATTAAAATGCATATACTCTCTGTCTGGAGTACTGTGGGGATGCTAAGCATCCCAGCAGGCCAGTTGTCCCCCAAACACACATGCCCAATCCAGTACACTGTATTAATGTACACAGCTGTGATTTAATAATTAAAAAAGATACATAACTATTATGTACCCATAATAAAAATAAAATTTATAAATCATTAAAAAGAAAAAAGATTCCTTTATTTTAAAAAAAGTATACACTTTTAGCTTGGCGCTTATAGCTCAGTGGGTAGGGTGCCAGCCACATACACGGAGGCTGGCAGGCTGAAATCCAGCCTGGGCCAACTACAACCAAAAAATGGCCAGGTGTTGTGGCAGGCACCTGTAGTCCCAGTTATTTGGGAGGCTGAGGCAAGAGAATTGCTTAAGCCCAAGAGTTTGAGGTTGCTGTGAGCTGTGACGCCATAGCACTCTACTGAGGGTGACATAGTGAGACTCTGTCTCAAAAAAAAACAAAAAAACAAGGCAGTGCCTGTAGCTCAGTGAGTAGGGCACTGGCCCATATACTGAGGGTAGTGGGTTCAAACTCAGCCCTGGCCAAACTGCAACAGAAAAATAGCTGGGTGTTATGGTGGGGCCTGTAGTCACAGCTACTCAGGAGGCTAAGGCAAGAGAATTGTCTAAGCCCAAGAGCTGGAGGTTGCTGTGAGCTGTGATGCCATAGCACTCTACCAAGGGTGACAAAGTAAGACTCTGTCTCTAAAAAAAAAAAAAGTACACACTTTTAGTTTTATTAGAAAATTCCTTTATTTCAGATATCAAGAACTTCTAAACTTTTATAAATTATTTTGAACAAAAGGAGAAAAATCCTTTTTGAGAAAAGAAAAAAAAATCTAAAATGTTGGATCTATTTCTTGTGTAAATACAAAAGGTAAAGACAGGTCCAGACTTGGGAACTACTGTCCAAGTGGGTTGGATTTATAAACCACAATTACTTTATGAATACAACATACCTTTTGCTTTACCTTAACGAACATTTCTAAGTTCCTTCCTGGACAGTTTGTATATAAATACCGAATAAATTTTATCTTAAGACCTATGCCTTAGTACAACTTAACGTAACTTAACTTACAGTAAGCACCTAAGGGAAATACTTAAAACAAATTCACATGAAAATTACACTTTTCTTACCTGGAAGCCACACTTGAGGCATAACCAAATGTCAGAAGGAAGCAGTGGCTGCCCATCGTAGAACCTTCTTTCTTTCAAACATTCTGAGCAAACGGACCACACATTCTCAGCCACTGCTCTCTTCACATGGTTCACGCCGACAGCATGACTTACATGTTGGCAAGTTAAACCTAATGAATAAGATACAATAAAATCTGAAAATTTTCTTAGTTGAACCAAATTGCTACCATCAGTAAGCAAAAGTCAGTGGTATTAAAATGCTGTTAACTAAAAAACACAGATTCCAAAAACAATATAACTCAAATGGATACACGTTATATGATTCCAGGTACAGAACATTCATGAAATGATACAGAATGGGAGAACAGATTAGTGGTCATCAAGGGCTATAGGTGGGGAGCAGAGGGCGTGGCGGTAAATGCACAGGGTGGGCATGGTATGGTCAGGTATCTCGATTGTGGTGGTTACCCGTATAAAGCTATTCACGTACTGAAACAGCCTACAGATACACGCAGTCACTCACACGAGTGAATGCATATCTGGTGAAACCTAAAGAAACCCTGAGCACTGTACCAATATCAGTTTCCTGACTTTGATATTATACTGTAACAATGTAAGATGTTAATATTCAAAGAGGCTGGGTAAAGGTGAATGGGACCCCCTTGGATTTCTTTGTACCTTCTTGTGAATCTAAAATCAGATTTATCTTCTTGTGAATCTAAAAATCATTCAAAAATTTCTTTTTTCTTTTCTTTTCTTTTTTTAGAGACAGAGTCTTATTTTGTTGCCCTCAGTAGAGTACTGTGGGGTCAAAGCTCACAGCAACTTCCAGCTCTTGGGCCCAGGCGATTTTCTTGCCTCAGCCTCCTTAGTAGCTGGGACTACAGGCGCCCACCACAATGCCTGGCTATTTTTTGTTACAATTAGGCCGGGGCTGGTTCGGACCAGCCACCCTTGGTATATGGGGCCAGTACCCTGCCCACTGAGCCACAGGTTGCCACCCTCAAAAGTTTAAAATTTATGCCTTGGCAACACAGAAAGACCCTGCCTCTAGAAAGATAACAAAAATTAGCAGGGCCTGGAGGTGTGAGCCTGTAGTCCCAGGTACTCAGCAGGCTGAGGTAGGAGGATCAATTGAGTTCAAGGCTTCAGTGAGCTATGATTTCACCACTGTACTCCAAGCTGGGTGACAGAGCAAGACCCCAATCTCTAAAAAAACTAAAGATGTAAGAAATAAGTAAAAAAAAATTACTTCCCCTCAAGCTGTCCCCCTGGGTAGAGTGCCGTGGTATCACAGCTCACAGCAACCTCCAACTCCTGGGCTCAAGCAAGTCTCCTGCCTCAGCCTCCTGAGAAGCTGGGACCACAGGCACCCACCACAACACCTGGCTATTTTTTGGTTGCAGCCGTCATTGTTTTTTGGCGGGCCCAGGCTGGATTCCAACCCGCCATCTTGGGTGTGTGTGGCTGGTACCTTAGCCACTTGAGCCACAGGTGCCGAGCCAGAAATAAGTAAAATTAAGCAGATTAAACAGCTTCTATGTGCCAGGCATTCTGAATGTATTCTATTTCCCTTAAGATGCACATGTAAAATATTTTTACATGACTAGCTCTGTTATGATGCTATTTTCAATATTGTTGAGAGAAAGGAAAAAAAGAAGCAAACAATGGTATAACTTACAGGAGCAAGAACTCCCAGAATTCTCCTTAAGGAACATCCCCAAACCCGAGTAACAAATTATTCTGACTGGTCCCTCATCATCCTTTATAACAGCCTCTCGCTGTGTGATTGTGTGGAGACAAATGGTCAAAACGGAGCAAACAGGGTTTGAATTTTTCAAATAACTATCTGTTTCTCCCACAGGCACAATTACACTTCCCTTTCTCCGAAATATCTGAACACTTTAATTTCTCCACTTCAGACACTCCAAACATTAAAATTACAACTACCTACTAAAATCACATAAAAAGGCTAAGTCACCTTAAGAGGAAAACAGGAGTATGTACACTTCGGCTCCTTCTCCGTCCCTTTCTAAATGCAAAGCCTATCTTTTAACCTATTAATTAACTAGAATGTGACTGGTGACAAGTCACTTAGGGTGAAATACACTTTCAACAAACAGAAAATATAAATGTGAATAAAATATAAAAGCGTCTAGTTTTACATCACGTGCAAGCTATCAGAACAGACATTAAAGGAGTTAATTCTGAAGTCCTATGTTTGAGAAGCAAGGATTCATGGAAGAAAAGGCTGCTCCGGGAAAGACTGATAAGTGCCCAACAAGTACAAGACCTAGAAATGCCATTGCTTTGTTTGAATTTTACATTGTAAAATGTTAAGGGGAAAATCATTCCACATATCTTTCTTTATCAGTCTCTGGGGTGGTAAATAGCTAGGGTACAAATTAAAATTCTGATTCTACTATTTGGATTTTTCAAATTTCAATTTTTAGCGAATTCAGAGATAAGTGAACTCAAGATAAAAAGGCTCTAAATTAAAGCTTGTAAATGTCTCAATAACATATATTTTTGTGTGTAAATAAAAAAGTTTAGAGCTTTCCTACAGTAGGTAACCAGTGTTTTAAACGCTAACTCTGTGGTAGAAAATATGCAAAGCATTAATAAGTAAATGTCTTCAGTCTTCCAGTATTTCTTTGATTGTAAAATTACTAAATGTCATCTGACTAATAGGTCCTCTAAAGATTCCCGAATAAAATACTAAAATGTATTGAAGTCTATAATTGTTTCACATTAAACAAATTAAAAACAATAATCAGGAGGCTGGGTAAGGGGGCTCCCAGGACTCTGGGAGGCGGAGGTGGGTAGATCACCTGAGCTCACCAATTCGAGACCAGCCTGAGCCTGAATGAGATTTCATGTCTAAAAATAGCCAGGCGTTGTCGTGGGCACCTGTAGTCCCAGCTACTCGGGAGAGTGAGGCAACAGAATTGCTTGAGTCTAAGAGTTTGAGGTTGCTGTGAGCTGTGACGTGATAGCACTCTACTGAGGGCAACAAAAGGAGACTCTGTCTCAAAAACAAAACAATAATCAGAATTTCCATGTTTTCCACTTTAAATAAAAACAAAAACTTTATAGGAAAGTCTTCCAATTTGCAAATGGCAACACTTTCCTTTTCTCCCAGAAATTATCCAAAAATGATAAGAAAAGGAAACAAAGATACAAAGGTCATTTTCAGAGAAAAGCCCTAAGTCACAGATTAAGTAAGTGGAAGGGCACCCACTTCAAAGCAGCCGAGATGGAACTAGGGTGTATGAAGAAGAAAGCAGAGAATGTGCAGCCAGATTTCACACAGAATAGCATGTGCTTCCCAGACACAAGACAAACCTAAATCGCTGTGCTGAAGCTATAGCAGCAGGAGCGATATCCAA